TCCCTAGCATTGCACTCTTCGGGACAGAGAGCTCGGATGTTGTCCCTGGGATCTGTTGGAGCCACTCCCCAGCTTAGGAGTCATGGCCCCGAGTGCTCCTACCACCACTGGGACCACTTTGGCCTTTCCTTTCCACACCCTCTCTAGTTCCTCCTTCAGGCCCTGCTACTTCTCCAGCTTCTCATTCTCCTTCTCCCTGATGTTGCTGTCACTTGGCACTGCTACATCTATCACTACCACTGTCTTCTGGACTTTGTCCACATATATATATATGGTCTGCTGTTGTAGTAGCATTCCTATGGTCTGCTGTTGTATAGTCTATGGAATGCTACTACAACAGCAGACCATCTCTCTCTCTCTCTCTCAAATTTGTCACCACCCATTTCACTGAAACGACTCTGGGCAGTTTACAAAGCAGTTAAAATCAATTAAATTTACAATATACAGTAATCCTAAATAAATAGAGAATAAATAGATTCAAGGATAGATGTTAAAATTGGCAGTCACTCGGGGAGCGTCATCAAGATGCCAACCACCCCCAGGATTGGGTAAGATTGTTGCCCCATGCCCGCTGGCAGAGCCAGGTCTTCAATCCTTTCTGGAAGGCCAAGAGAGTAGGGGCCTGCTGCACCTCTGGGAGGAGAATGTTCCAAAGGGTGGGGGCAACAGCAGAGAAGGCTCTCTTCCTGGGCCCCACCTGCCAACATTCTCTTGCTGATGGTTCTGCAACATGCCCTCTCTGCCTGACCAGGTGGGGCAGGTCGGTTTTTTATGGGATTTAGAGGTAGGAATGGAGCAAATTGCTTCCCTGTAGGCAGGGTCAAAGTTGAGAGATGCCCGGCTCCTAATTTCAGAGATTTGGTCAAATTGTTTGCCCTCTGGAGGAGGAGGAGGAGGAGGAGGAGGGGGGGGGGAGGTGCAGCGCAGGGCCTGTAGATCTCCTACTTGCTTTACAGCTTGAGAGTGATGCAGAAGACCTTTTGCATAAGTTTTTGCATACTAAGAAGGTTCCATTTATGAAGAAAAAAGACACATCCTTTTGCTTTCCAAAAAACCTGGGACTGGGATCCCTGCCAGACGCAGCCTACTCACCTGGGCTGGGTGGTGTCAGCACGGCCGGTGGACTCGGAAGCGCTTTGGCCGTGCGATGGTGGGATGGGGACAGGCGTGGAGGTGTCCGCCTTGGCAATGGTGATCTCCTGGGCCTCTGAAGCATCTTCTCCACAGTGTGGACAGAAGATCATGCCATTGAGCTGGGAAACGCAGGCCTTGTGGAAGCGATGTGCCACACGGAAGTCAGGGTGGCACTCCAGGAAGGTGCCCTGAGAAAAAAGAAAACAGGTGTCAGGGATTGGGGTGCCCACCCAAACCTTACGTGTGTGAGCGCTCAGCAACAATTCCCAGGGTTCCTGACCACTGGTCAAGCTGGCAAAGGCTGCTGGGAACTGTAGTTCCACAACATTTGGAAGATTACTGGATAGCCAACGTTGGAATTAACAACCAGGCCTGTAGAAATGACAGAGCTGACGCTTCTGGAAGCTAAAGATATGAAAACCCAACCTTTGTCACCAGCAGGATGACTGGACCTAGGGCAAGTATTTGAAGAAGCCTGGCCCTCTCTACACCCCTGACCAACTCAGCCATGCTTTCTTCTAACTGAACTTGAGGCCTGGGCTCAAATTGGCTACCAATGGATTCGTTCAGGCGGAGACAGCTCCAAGAACCATGCTCTTCCCCTCAAATACCTCCCTCTGATGGCGACCCGCTCACCCCGTTACCGGGTCCCCACACGCCTGCCGGTTTTCTTTTCTCACCGCCGTGCAGAAGTAGCCGCAACCAGGGCAGCAGTGATGCTTCACCATCCGGGCACGATGGGCTTCGCACAGGACCATGAGTGGAACCCGGCTGGAGGGACGCATTGTCTCTTGCTTTAAGATGCTGCTGCTGCAGCCGTTTAACTGTAAAGGCACAAAGGAGAACGTGTCTCCCTCCCTCTCTGGGCAGGTCCCACCGAGGCAATTCATTAGGGCAGGGCTTCTCAACCTTGGCCACTTGAAGATGTGTGGACTTCAACTCCCAGAATTCCCCAGCCAGCTATGTATTATTACAAACTGACCCTCAACAAAATGTTGCTATACAGGTAGTCGTCCTTTAGCAACAATTGGGACCAGCAACTCAGTCATTAAGAGAACCAGTCACTAAGTGAAACCGTGTCTGTGCTTATGATCTTACTTCAGCTTTCCTTTGTTTTACAAACCTGAGGTCGTCATAAATGCAAGGATTGGTTGCAAAGTTACTTCTTCATCACCGTCATAACTGCAAATGGTCACTAAACAAGGCAGCTGCTAATCAAGGACTAACTACATATGCTACCTGCTAACCAAAGCACAGCTCTCCAAGATTCCAGTCCATTACAGGATATTTTACTTTCCCCTTCTATGTTTTCTTTCTTTTTCAACTGAAATTTAACATTCTATGGAAAGGTCAGTCCTTAATGGGCTGTTCAGGATGTGCTGCCCCCTCCATTTTTTAAATAAACGTTTTTGTACTTCCGTAAAACTCAGGGGGCCTTCAAGCATGTTGACATTTCCCCTTCCTTAATGGGCCCATGCAGGGACGTCCACAGGGCGTATCAAGGAAGTCAAGATGGCAACCGCGACCACATGATCAAACCCCACTCTTTTCATGTGATATAAAAGGGGTCGGGGCTTTGCTCATACATTCATGGCCACCGCTTTGCCTTATTTGACACCCCCCTGCAGATGCCCCTGAGCCCATATCTGGCCTCTGTTATCAGCGCCCTCCAGCTAAGTTAACTATCAAAGAGAATCCTTGTTATTATCACTATTTAGAAGCAACAGAGAGGCTGCGATGGATGTTTTGACTTCAAATCAACAGGGCAAAATGGAAAGGACCTAAATAAAGCCAGCTGGACCTTCTTCATTCCAGATTCCCTATCCTTGCTTACCTCCCCATCAGCACTCTCAGTTGCCATGCACTGATTTCCAGCCTGCTGGCTAAGCCGCTCAATGGTTGGGGCTTCCATGCGGCAAGAACACAGCGGAAGTTCCTCAAAGCGTTCAGTTTCCAATGAACTTGTCTCATTAGACACACCTGGGAAGGGGGAGAAGGAGATGTGTGTCCTGGAAAGGCCTACTTGTCAGCTACGCAGGTCCAGGTTCTTTGCCCATCTAGGCCAAATTGTATCAATTGGGCAGCCCAATTTATCAGGTGCTCTACGTCTTGAGTAAGACATCTGTGACTTGAGGTTGAAAAGGTGGCACCCTCTTCCATGTACAAAAGCCAGTGAGGCTGACCATGCAACTTTTCTTCAACAGTGGCAATTGGACAGCATCTTCCACAGCTTATGAAGGCACTACACTAGCTTAAGAGGTGGGGGCCAACCTACTGCTCTGGCTGCAGCTTCCCATCTTACCACCCTGGTCTTGAATCAACACCATCCTCCTCAGCAATGCACGTTCTCCTGAGCTTGCAGGCTCTGCTCAACCTATGGGTCCATTAATGATGAGCTAAAAATGGTCCAAGATGATTTGCTGTTGAGGTAGGACAGTGTCTCTCCACCTTGGGAACTTGAAGATGTGTGGACTTCCCCATGACTGGCTGGGGAATTCTGGGAGTTGAAGTCCACACATCTTTAAGTTTCCAAGGTTGAGAAACACTGTGGTAGGAGGTGCAATGGATGAAGCCCAAGTTGTAAAAAGACAGCAGTAAGATTATTTCTTGGGGCAAGAGTTCAAAAGGTACCCCTAGCCCACTCTCTTTCCTCTGGTCTGATAGTCAGATATGCCTTGATAGCTCTTCATTTACAGTCAACGATGTTGCTCACCTGCACAGTGTATGTAAGTCATATTGAAAGCTGTGAACAATTCTCCTCTTAAAAGAGGAATATACAATTTACTCAAACTACCCCCCAACAACAACACAGCTTGAATTCTTGAACCCACTGCTCCAAAGGAAGAGGAGGGATGGATAGGTACACACCAGCATTGTTGGGGGACAGCGCCCCCTCATTGGGCAGTTCCAGGCAGCCAAGAGGCACCTCCGTATACTCGCTCTGGGTGGTTGACGGGCCACCATTCAGGCCTGAGGAGGGAAAAAGAGGAAGAGAATGTCCACCCTGAGGAAAAGCACCCCAGATGCTTTTTGATTTCTTTTCATTAAATAACTGCCATTCTGATGGCCTTCTATCTGGAGAGATTCTTTCAGAGGGTTTCACTCTGGAGTTCTGAATGAAGCTAGCAACCACTTCAGATTTTGTAACCTCCCAGATAATTTCAGATCACATCAACAGCTACTATTTCTCTAATGATGGTTGGGGCAATTTGTCAAACCGCTCACTTTCCAGAGAAGTTGTCTCATCAGAAATGGAAAGGGGAGAAGAGAAGATGCATGTCCTGGAAAGGCCCACTTTTCAGCTCTCCTTTTTGCCAGTCTAAGCTGAACTCTGTCAACTGGGCAACCAAAAGATGATTAGGCACTCCAAGTGCTGAGTAAGGCATCGGCCACCTGAGGTAGAGACAATGGCACCCTCTGTTGTAAACAGTAGCTACAAATAGCTACTATTTCTCTAATAAACCTGGGAGGGTTCCTCTTTTTAAGAATCTAGTGTGGAGATGGTCTATTTAGCCCTATCTTCCATCCTCTCCCAACAACTCATTATGGGGAAGAGTGGTGGCCTCCTCAGTGCTTAAGTGGGATCAGACTAGGCCCAAGAAGACCCAGGTTCAAATCCCCGTTCAGACATGCATCTCAGCTGAAGATCTTGAGTCAACCACTCATCTGCAGCACAGCTTTCCCTGCAAGTTATTATGAGGATAAAATGGGAGAAAAGTGAAAACCCAGCATTTTGCCTCAAATTCTGTGAAGGAAGAATGAAACAAATCAGCATCTTCTAATCTTGGGCTCCCAAATGATTTGGGACTCTAATCAAACCCAACTGCTCAAAATGAAGGTTGGAGTTGGCAGAACTGTACAGGTAATCCTCGCTCAATGACCACAATAGGGATCCAAAAATTGGTTGTTAAGCAGGGCAGTTGTTAAGTGAATTGGACCTGATATTACTACCTTTTTTGCGGCGGTCGTTAAGCAAATTACACGGTCGTTAAGCAAATGACGCAGTTCCCCACTGATTTTTCTTGCTGGAAGCTGGCTGGGAAGGTGGCAAATGGCGATCACATGACCCTGAGACGCTGCAACTGTTGTAAGTGTGACTTGGTTGCCAAGCACCTGGATCACGATCACACGATCACAGGAGTGCTGGGACAGTTGTAACTTCAGGCATTGGTCATAAGTCACTTTTTTAGCACTGTTGTAACTTCGAGCGGTCACTAAACGAATGGTTGTTAAGCGAGGACTACCAGTATTCTACTAACCTTTGGAAGGCACCAATTTGGGGAAGTCTGAGCTAAGGCCACACATGTTATTTAAGTATTATTTTGTTTAGATGGCTAGTTCTGTGTTCTTCCAGAGAAAGGTTCAACCTACAAGAGGCCAGCATCTTCCTACAATAATGATTGGTCTGACATACCTCCAGCCAAGCTTTCCCATCAGAATCCAGAGGTACCATGTCTTTCCCTTCTGCAGAGGGAAAGAAACAAGTGCTCTGCATCTCAGATCTGGTTGCCCTGAGAGAAAATCACCTTTGTTTTCCTTGGGATGTGGCTCTTTGCGTTTGCGTTTTCGGGATGGCTTGATCCATGGACTGTCGTGTCGCCAGCGCTTCCGGGCTTTACGTTTGGAGCTGGAGGCCGTGCTCTGGAGGACAAGGAAAACAGAAGAGCCCCAGGCAATGTGAGCAGAGACTAGAGGAGGACCACAGCTCAGGGCCAGGAACGATGGGTCTATGTGCAGGAGGCTCCTCTTTGCATCTTGGGCTAAATGGGTAAAGAGCCTCATCTACTATAAGCCAACTTCCTGTTGGAGGAAGGAACCAGAGGTTGGCAACAGGGGCCTGAAAGCCACCCACAGCTCTTGTGCTTTTGGGCCCATGGAGTGCAAATTAATAGTTCAGTAGCAATAGTTTTATTCATCACGTGCTTATAACTAAGGGCAGTACAGACGTAAAACAAAACACCAATTGATAGAGTAATATATTGTAATTACTTAGAACACTGTAATATAAAACAAGGAGCCTCTAAACTAAATGGGCCATGACGTATCAAAATATTAACTTCTACGCCAATGTTTCCCAACCTTGGCAGCTTTCAGATGGGTGGACTCCAACTCCCAGAATTCCCCAGCCAGCCATGCTGCTCTATGCATTTAAAGTAAGAGGTTTATACCCCAAAGCACCTTCTGGCAGCTAAATCTAAAGCAACGCCCAACTCCACTGAACCAGAAACAAAAATGGGTGGGGCCGCTGTTGAATTTCAGACCAAACCTTTTTGGTACGATCTGTAATTTAAAAAAAAAAATTGCCTCCAGGTATTCTTTCTCCTCAACTTGTGTAAGATAGTCATGGATGAAGCAGATGGAAATAAACTATATGAATGTGGAGAAAGGAACACAGATATTACTTCTCCATCTGGGCAATGCTTGTTTGAACATGGTTTCACCAATAGTGTACAGTGCAAAGCAGCGGGAAAAAAAGTACTGTATCTTAGAACTGTTTAGACCAGTGTTTCTCAACCTTGGCCACTTGAAGATGTGTGGACTCCAACTCCCAGAATTCCCCAGCCAGCATGGGGTTGAGAAACACTGGTTTAGACTGAAGTGGGTAACAGAAATCTTACAAATAAATAAATAAACTGAGGGGCCACCATGAATGAATCCCTATCCAACCAAGACGAGTCTCAACTCACCCTATCAGAGAGGTTTCCTGACTCTTCCTCATCATCTTCATCTTCTTCCTCTTCTTCTTCTTCCTCTTCTTCTTCCTCCTCCTCCTCCTCTTCCTCCTCTTCTTCTTCCTCCTCCTCTTCTTCCTCTTCCTCACTCATGTGTTCTCCGGTAACATCTGCATCAGACTATAACCAAAAGAAATGAATGGATTAATGAATTAAAAAATGAGGAGGGGAAAGGAGAAGACAGGAAGAGCAGTTGGACCTGCTTCCAGTTCCAACTAGAGCTCCTATCAAGGCTGCTTGTCCTGATGGAACTTCCTATGTAAGGACCAGGGAAAATCTGGAATAAGCTTTCACTGATAAATATTCTGAAGGTATATTCAACCAGGTATTTTCCTAAAGGAGCATCTGTTCACTAAAAGCCACAGGGAAACTCAACGTTCTTATTTACGACACAAGAGGGAAACTAAAAAAAAAAACCCACCACCACTCATTGTGGTATTGCTGTTCAATGCAGTTTTCCAAGATTTCCATGTTTCTTTCCCCACCTCCTCCCAAAATAAGTTGTGAGTCCTCCTGATTGCAACTTAATAGTGAAACACGTGGACAACGTCCTGTGAAATCTCTAACGTCAAAGGGCACTACATTAAATTTGCAAGGGGTCTGCTTCCAGTTCTCAGCATCGTCTTCTTCATACCTTGCTGTCCGAATCGACGTGGCCATCCACAGAATAGCTGTCGTAGAAGAGGCTAAAGTCATCCCCCACTTCGGTTTCCCATTCCTGGCCTCCGTCCTCCTGCGAGGCCGTGGCTGGAGCTGTCATCTCTTCTGTCACCGTGATCTAGAGAAAAGCATGTCTTTCATTAAAAACTGCTGAAGGTTTATTTTTATGCTGGGTGTCGAGCTGGTGAAGTTGTTCCTCCTTGGGGAGATTACTGTTCGGGTTACCTAGGAAGGGGTAGATGTTTTCTGCTTTTCTACTGGGGGGAGTCATTTCTGAGAGGCTGGCATCAAAGTCGGGCAAAACAAAAACATACGTGTCTTTTTTCCCCTAGCTTCAGAACAACTTCTTAAAACAGAATTTCTCAACTTTGGCCACTTTAAGATGGGTGGACTTCAACTCCCAGAATTCTTCAGGAGTTAAAGTCCTGAAGAATTCTGGGAGCTGAAGTCCACCCATCTTAAAGTGGCCAAGGTTGAGAAACTGTTCTAAAACCAAAGCCTAAGAATGGGCAGAAATCACAGAAAACAGGTAACGTGTCAGGCCTGAATAAAGAGGTCTTCCCTCCCCTGCTGCTGCCTTTGCCAATGAAAAGAAATCAAGAGAAGATCTGGAGAAGATCTTTGAAAGGGAATTCAAAGGGCAGGGGCCATGGCTGAAAAGGCTGTGCCTCTCTTCTCTAGCCATAAGGCTGGGAGGAAAGTGGGCAGGGATGAGCAAAACCAAGCTTCTAGTCTTGGCATAAAATTCATCTATGCCCATCAGGAAGTTATTGCGGTAGAAAGATCTGTCTGCTGGCTGGTTGAGATTCCCAGCCCCAAAGCTGTGCCCGTGTTCCTCACTCCACGTTGGCCTGTCCTGCTTCCTTGATACCCCATCTGTCAAACCCCTAACATCAGCCCATGGCCAAGGAAGCGAGATTCCTGCAGAGTCTTGTTAATCAGGTTTCATACCAGGAAAAAGGGATGAGATTACAGAATCTCGGAAACTAAATAAGAAAACCACAATTCTCATTTTTAGTCGCAGGATCTCTGCGAGCTGTTTGAATCTCTTTCTCATAGATTCCCTAGGTGACAGATCAAGGCCTTGATTAAGAAATAAGCCTGAAATGTCTTTCCTCATTTCCTGTGTTTGGAAAAACTCCCTTTTCTGTCCTAGTTTCCAAGAATATATCAATGTTAAAAATGCAGCCCAAGAGCCAGGGCTGGCCCCTGGTCACTAGGCACAGTTAGAACCATTCATAGGCAGCAAACTGGGACTTGCTAAATGAAAGAAATTTGCCATTTCATTTTTTTTTAATTTTAAATTCAAATTCACTCATATTTCTACTGCGCAAGGGACTCAAAGCGGTTGCTAATATTAAAACAAACTGGTGACAAATATAAAAGCAGCAGCTACCATTTAAAAAACAATGGCAAACAATGGTTTATTCCTCCAGGAATGAAATTCTCTTGATAGCAAAAATACATATGCAAATGAACAATACAAATATGCATATACAAATAAAATACAGGTATTTTATTATTCTGGTCCTGTAACTTTTTTTTCATGATTTTGTCCGTCTCCACCAGGATTATCATCAGGTAGTTAATTTATTTTATTTATCATATTTATATAGCCGCCCATCTCACACAAGGTGACTCTAAATAATAAATAGAATATACAAAAGTACTGAAAACAAGGAGCTCTATCATTTGAGCACAACCACAGAGGAAGCACAATCACCAAATTAGCCTCAAATATCAGTAGAAAATCTCCATAGCAAACCTGAAGTTTCTACCTCAGGCATTAAGATGACTTGTTTCACAGAAACATGCATTTATTTTAAATTTCTTTCAGTTCAAAAAATAAAACACACCAGAGTATTATCAACAGGACCACCTTTCCCAGTTACTAGCAGGACTTCCTTAGCCAATTTTAACACCCAGATCTGCTCACTTCCATTTTTGCTTGGACGCATCTATGCATCATCTTACATCTGTCCGTCCATCCGTCCATCCACCCACCCACCCATCACATTTATACAGCTGCCCATCTCACACAGAACGACTCTGGGTGGCTATATAATCATCTTAAAATCAGTGAGCTTTCTTCCTGGTGCTTCTACTCCTTATTCAGTGAAGTCAAAGACTGAAAGCCATCCTTACTCATGCAGATAAGAAGTTCTTTAATCAGACTGGTGGGGCTTAAATTCAACCCTCAGCCCTTAAGAGAACCATTGAGCATTTAAAAGGAAGAGATGCACCTCTGTAGTAGCTCGGGGACTTGACCGCTGAAGCGAAAGGGGAATCCTTTTGTGCAATGCGTCTACCATGTAATCGTATTTCCTGTGTTTCGCAGGTTCTTCTTTAGAAAGAGAGGGAAGAAGAGGAGTGAAATGAGCATCTGGTAGACTCTAGTCCAGCCTTCCCCCTATCCCCCAAGTGATGGGACTACAATTCTCAGAATCTTGGGCAACCATAGAAGACTAGGTTGAGGAATCTGCTCTAGCCAACACCTTCAGACCCAAATATCTTTCTATACCAGCCTACATAGGTATCCTTCTAAATCTGTGGCCTCCATACCTGGTTCTTCAATGCTTCTCAAATCATCTGAGACACGGAAATGTAACATCTCTGAGACCCTCTTTTCAGGCACCTTGAGGAAGAAGAAAACGAAGGATGATCATCCATACAGTTAGGACTTCACCTTTTTAACTACAGCCCCATCCATTTGTATAAGCAGAAATCTCATGTGGTGCAGAAATACAATAGAAAAAGCCCACATATTTCACACAATGGAATTTTGCAGCTGTTTAGAAGAATAATTCAGAATTCCTGTTTGGGTCTATGCTCAGCTTCCCCAGCCTGGTACCCACCAGACACGTTGGACTATCATGCCCGTTACTTCAGTATGGCCATTTAGGGTAATGGAAATCATACTCCCACCCAGCTGGAAGATACCATAAATAAGGATGCCAAGCCAGATGATCTACCTTTTTCCAAAATTAGCCATTCTTAAGCATCAAAAGCAATTGTAGTTTTGTTGGCTATGAAGAAAAGAAATCCAATACCCACTGAGGAAATACCTTTATTAGGTATTTGAGTTTCAGGGATGGTTAGGAAAAAAGAGTGGGGAAACGTGTTTTGACGCACAGCCAGGTCACAATCAGATTGGATGCACAGACAACTTTTGATCAGATACACAGTAAAGTTGAGTTGGGCTACCAGTTCTCCTAGTTATGCAACCAGTTGCTGGAAGAAGCAACGAATTTGTAAGTTCCTTATGTGGGGAAATACACATTCCATCTTTTTTTTGGCCTGCAAGAAATACCGAGATCCCTTCACTGGGGGAAAACCAGCCAAATCTTCTAGACCAGTGTTTTTCAACCGTGGCCATTTGAAGATGTGTGGACTTCAACTCCCAGAATTCCCAGGGGAATTCTGGGAGTTGAAGTCCACACATCTTCAAGTGGTCAAGGTTGAGAAACACTGGTCTAGACAAAAGAAACATTTACGCACTGAAAAGCATTTCTTGGTGATCTGGTAGTAAGAATCCATGGTGCTCAGCTGCTAAAATTAATCATAAGATGCACCATCATTCTGCAGCCTAATGGCAAAGTGGGATTATATGTACTGTATCTTAATTGGTTTTGCTGTTTTAGTGATATGGAACAGTTGTACTTTATTATTTAAAGATTTGTCATAGTTGGTCAACTTTCACACTGATATAAGAATTCCTCTGGACCTGGTTGTCTGCTAAGTGCCTTACTGAACTAATCATAAACGCTGTAAATTAGCCTTCTCATCATCATCGACAAAGACAACTCAATCTCCAAGTCCACCTCTCCATGTAGCCAAAACAGCATTGTACACAATCAAGCAATGGATCTTCTGAATCAGCAACCTGGGCAGAAGGTACGTTTGTAAGCCTACCTGTACAGTGCTGGGCTTCGACATTGTTTTCCGAGCCCTGTGAACCTTGGGTTTGACTTCTTCAGTGGTTGGGGCTGAAGGTTGACCAGGAGCAGAGGTCACTGCTAGAGCAGGAGTGGGGGCTGAATCTGGGACTGGGGCTGAGGCTGGAGCTGGGGCTTCTGTTGTGGGAGACCCAGAATCACCCGGAAGACGTGATCCAGGCATAGTCAGCAAGCGCATAGCCAGACTCTGGATAGACGTTGGGGACTTGCTGGTCCCGGTAAGGGACATCTTTGCACGGCTGGGTCCAGCTGTTTTGCTGGGGGATGATGGGAAAGTCTTAGCAGCATGACCTGAAGAGAAGGGAAGGAGTTGTGAGGACACCCAGTCTAGACTACATGAATGCAGCTGAAGTGGAGCTACAGAAGATCCACGTGACAGTTCCACATGAAGCACATTTCACGAACTAGTAAAATCAGCCTTATTCAACAAGGCTTTGGCTCTAGATTATGTGATTGTGGGAACCCATCAAAGACATTTCTGATTGGATTAACTATGTCATTGGTTTTTTTTCCTTACAATCTTTATTTCTTGTGCTAATGTGCACTCCCCAGATTCTTCCCAGATTGGGTCACAAATTGGCCCAAATTGGCCACAAATATTATTAAATATATATATAAATAAAAAGAGGGCAGAGCTGATGTAGGAATAACAGCAACAATAATCATAAACTTGTACGCTGCCTGACTCCCAACGATTCTGGGTGGCTCACGACAATCAAAGAAAGAAATTACAATAAAATCAATACAATAAAAGATAAAAGTTCAGCAAGTGCGACAGATGGAATAAAACAAGGGGCCTCACTCTCCCTCACCAAAGTCCTGGGGGATTAGCAACATGAAGAATCTGCCAAGGCTTGCCAAGTATTGGGGCCCGCTGCTTTTCTGCCTTCCTCCTGCACCTCAACTGCTTCTCCTTTCTGATTAAGAAGGAACAGGAGGAGACAACCCTTGGCCTCTTCTAGTAGGGCTTGGAAAGACAATGGCCTACTGCCCCAGAAAGCTACTGCTTATCCCTAGGTGAATATATTAAAGAAAAATGCTTTCAAATTGTAACACCATCTACATCCTTCCCAAAGATGATACCCTCTACATCAGCCTTTCTCAACTGGGGTTCCACAAGAGATGATTGAGAAAAAAAAAAAAGGTTATTTTTTGAACGTTGGGAGCTGTGCAATGCTAACCGTAAATATAACTAGACAACCCTGTGACCTGTTGGATCATCCTTTGAGAGAAAGGTAGTACATTATCACACCATGTGAGGTGTGCATTTTGCCTTGCTCTTTCTCTGTTGAGGTCTTGTCGTCGAAGGCGGGCATTGTCGCGTCCAGCAACTCTCCCGGTCATTACTCCTTGCCACATATTATCAAGTTGATCTTCCTTTCCTTCCTCCGTCTCTTCCTGTCTCCTCGTTCTGTGGCTTCCATTGTTGTTCTGGAGATGCGCAGCCCTTTCAACCTCCATTTCTTCACCTCTTCTGCTATTTGTTCTTTCTCTCTGATCCTGGAGACGGGCGTTTCTCTGCTCCTTTGTCTCTTCTGCTCTCCTCCTTTGGTGCCTGTTCTTGTCATTCTGGAGACGCGCATGCCTCTCCTCCTCTGTCTCTCCTCCTCTCCTGTTATTTGTCCTGACTCTTTGATCCTGGAGCCGTGTGGCCCTGGCCTCACCCGATTCTTGTTCTCTCCTCCTCCTCGCCGCGTCCCGACGACGTTTGGTGTCATCTCTTGACCATGACGTCCCCCCTCTCTTTCTATACGGCATAATTAGGCTGACCATATTTTTTTTACCCCAATGCTGGATGGTCCCGTCATCATCTAAGAAGACTATACATCATAAATAGAAAAATAATTGTAGTGGCAAACGAGCTTCAATAATAAGTCAATATTTACTTACCTAAACAGCTAAACAGAATGATCACGGGCAGGCAAAGAAGCAGTGGGCACAGGCGTGACTTGCAACTTCCTGCCGGCTTCCCCATTGACTCTGCTCGTGGGAAGCTGGCAGGGAGCGTCAGAAATCATGATCACATGACCACGGGGACACTGCAACGGCCACAACTTAGTGAATAAAACTGGTCTGAACATCCTGGAAATTTCAATTCCACAGGCATAATGGGTCCCGGATTTTTTACTCATTGTTTAAATTAGTGGATTTTAGGTACCTTGATTCAAAAATTGTTGTGGTATAATGCACCATTTGGGCTAACTTGAGGGTACAAACACAATCAGAATTTTAGTAGTATATAATGTTTATGTAGGGGTTCTCTAAGACCTGGAAATTATTTCAAGGGTTCCTCCAGGATAAAAAGATTGAGAGAGGCTGCAGGGAATTACAGCTGCCCACACTCTCAGCTGGCTGTTAGTCAGGCCAGCTGGAAATTCTAGGAGCTGTAGCCCCAATACAGGTGTCATCTGGGAAAAGCTCCTGTGGACCATTACTAAGGCCGAACGTGCCATTTGATACAAGCAGCTTCCGATGTCTTTTATTAGCAGGGCACAGAATGGTTCAAGTGCAAAACAAGTGGAGGTTGAGACAATGGTTCTGACCGGGTTGGAAGACATCCAACCTTGAAACACCCCATTTTGAGCTGGAACAGTGGTTCTAGATTGGAAGCAGTATGGAATACTTCTAGACTGGTCAGAACACCATTGCAATATGTCTGGTAGGTTAGATACAGGGTGTTTGCTGAGCTTGAAAGAGTTTACATCTCTTCAGAAATTTTATTGTGGGATTCATATTCCAAGAACTTGTTTGGTACACAGGTAGTCCCTACCTAGCAATCACTCGTTCAGTGACTGTTCAAAGTTATGACAGTGCTTAACAAGGAGACTTACCACTGGTCCTCAAAGTTGTGGCCGTCACAGTGTCCCCACAGTCACATGATCATGATTCGGGTGTTTGGCAACCAGCTTGCACTTATAATGACTGCAGTGTCCCGTGGTCACATGATCGCCCTTTGCAACCTTCACTGCTGGCTTCTGACAAGCAAAGTCAATGGGGAAGCCAGCAGGAGGTCGCAAGATGCAGTCATGTGACATCGTGCTTAATGACCACGCAGAATTTGCTTAAAGATGGCAACTGGAATTTGCCGGAACTGCTGTTGTAAGCTGGCGTGGTCACATGATTTTCTGCTTAGCGATGGAGTTGCCAAACCCAATTATGGTTGTTAACTACCTGTAGTGGTTAAAGACACCAGCTAGAAACCTGGAGACTGTGAGTTTTAATCCTGCCTTAGGCACAAAACCAGCTGGGTGACCTTGGGCCAGTCTCTCTCTCAGCCGTAGGAAGAAGGCAAGGGCAAACCACTTCTGAAAACATTGCCAAGAAAATGACATGGACTTGTCTGGGGAGCCTCCAGGGGTCAAGAATGAATTTGAAGATAGCAAAACAAACAAAGAAGATTCACATCTCACCTATCCTCAAGGCTCCAAGAGCTATACAGAGTACTCTCTACTCCATCTGTTCACCTCTACAATTTTGAGGTGGGCTGGACCAAAGGACAGAAGGTGGCCAGAGTCCCCCTCTGGATTATCTGGATCCTTGTCAGTCAGGATTCAGATTCACGTATGGGATAGAAACGGTATTGGTCATGTTTTTGGATGATCTCTGGCAGTGGCAGGATGGGGGTTGTGCATCCACCCTTGCCCAACTTCTTTTCTATTGCCCTCCTGGGCCTCTTAGCGGCTTCTGATACCATCAACCATGGTATCCTTCTGGATCAACTCAGAGGACTGGGGGTGGGTGGCATGGTGCTGTGCTGGTTCGCCTTCTTTCTCCAGGGTCAATTCCAATCGGTGGTGATTGGGGAAGAGAGATCCCACCCCCTGCCCCTAGTGTGTGGGGTGCCACAGGGGTCAGTGCTCTTTCCACTCCTATTCAACATCTACATGAGGCTGCTGGGTGAGCTCATCTATCACCATGGGGGTGAGGTACCATCAGTACGCAGATGATACCCAGCTAGACATCTCTGCCCCTGGTGAATTAAGCAATGCTGTTGATGTCTTATTTATTTATTAAATTTCTCCCCCCCCCCCCATCCCCCCCAAAGGGGGGACTCTGGGCGGTTCACACAAAACATTAAAACCATAAATACATATAAATACATAAAACATAAAACTTTAAAAAATTATCCCAGTGCCTGGAGGCGGTGGGGTCTGGATGGGGAACAGCAGGCTTCAACTGAACCCTGGCAAGACTGAGTGGCTTTGGGGCCTGCTGGTGCTAGGGCTATGCCATCTTTGGTGCTGGATGGGGTCACATTGCCTCAAAGAGACCCAGTGCGCAACCTGGGGGTCCTCCTAGACTCATAACTCCTGCTCAAAGAGCAGGTGGCAGTCGTGGCTAGGAGGGCCTTTCAAAGCTTTGTATTGTGCACCAGTTCCTAGATCGGGAGGCTATATAAATATGATGAACAAACAAACCAAGAAATAAACCAAGAAATAAACAAACTTCCATAGGGGAGTGGGGACTTGAACCTGGCTCTCCCTGGTCATAATCCAACACCTTCACATTATACCACATTGCCTCTGCTGTCTCTCCCTGTGGGCATGACCAGTGGCTCAAAGAGAGAAGAGAAACCAGCAAGTCACAGGAAAAGCAGTGGTGAGCCCATTAGAAGACTGAAGCCCTCCATGCAATCCTTGCAGCCAGTATCCCAAAGAAATCAGAACATTCAAGCAGAAGAAGAGACAAATACCCTGGGACGTAGGTTGGGAAGACAGTGACTGGCCCAAAGTCATCTAATGAACTTCTGTGGCTGAGAGAAGACTCGTACCTGGATCTCTCTGGTCCAAGACAACCTCTTAATCAAGACATGATACCCCAATTTCCTGGAAGCTTCTAAATTACATGGAGGTAATTGCAACACCAGCCACAGAACACAAATGCAAAGCAGCACATCATCCAACAGAAATCACACAACCATAGCCTTACAGGTCTCCTCACCAAAATCCTTCAAAAAAGTCAGCCAGAGAATTCTAGTTTTTTCCACAAAGGAAAACCACCTTCCTATTGATGTGCTTCTCAGTCACCGATCCCCTTTCTGACTCACCAGGTAGGCCTTTGCTCCCGGGGGTGGGACTAGTATTTGAGCTGGCCAAGATGCCCCCCGATTCTGGAGACGTGCATCCCCCTTCTTTTCCACTCCCAGTCGCTTGTGTCCAGACTCCATCGTCCCCATTTCTGCTGGAGACCAGTAGGCTGTCTCCTACTCCTCCCAGTGCAGTTTTGGTCTTCCGAGGAGACAAGGCCCCTGAAGAGAGCTCCGAGTCCTCTCTGGAGGGTACAGGATCTTGAGAAAGACACAGACAAAGTCTCTCAGGGCCCAGGAGGGTTCTAGAGTTGACGGGTTTCAAATCAGGGCTGCAGATGAAAGCAGCACCTTTTCCAGCTTCCAATCTTGGACCTCCATAAATCTTACCTATTTCATCTGCTTCAACTTCCACCAGAGCTGGCGCCCCTGTTAATCCCCGATGGGCCTCATCCTGAGGGGGAGAAAAAAAGAAAAAGAAATTCAAAACTCAAGTTGAGATGAATTTGCAAATGTTTACCTGGGCTTACACAGAATGCTAAATCATGGTTTACTTCACTATGGTTTGTTGCAGAGGAGATAACCCTCAGCCTATAACTGGCCATTGGCACTACTCTAATGGCCCCTCCAGACCAACCAAGTTGATAGGGCCAACATTTTAGATGTATTTTTAGGGGTTTGAAATGCGTTGAAGGAGAGCGTATCATGTACTATGTATATGGATGTCTTCTTTTCAAAATCAACATGCTTTCATTTTTAAAATGCTAGATTTATATGCATACATACATTATACAGTGGAGCAAAAAAGTATTTGGTCAGCCACCAATTGTGCAAGTTCTCCCA